TGCATATCCAACTGAAAACATAATGCTGACTTAACAATACTTGAAATACTCAATGCTGTATTTACAACAAACCTAATGTACAATGTTCTAATGTCTCAGCCTGCCTTAGTTCAGAAGTATATCAGATGGATAGAGAGGCCGAAATAGTAGTGATAGACTAATGTGAAGAGATTATTCAGAAAGTGACAGTTTAATAGTCTCTTCTGCTACCATTTCTTGTAAGCATTTTTTTAAATGCTCTCTTTAAAAAAGTAGCGCAGGAGGAACAGACTGAGCAGAGAGAAAGGGAACAATGCAGGGATTATGTGTTGAGGAGAGTACATCCTTACTTGTAGAAACTTCTAGAGAGGTATTTTTATCGACAGCAGGTTGAGTGGCCATTGCTCAGTCACATAAATGTGTTCTCTTTCATTCACTCTGCTTTCAGCTCAGGGGCTAAACCAGTCGTACAAGCAGATTCCTCTTTCATACGGCTGTGTGTCGCTTTACTGCCAGCAGCTTGACACACAATGTGCACAACCCTTTGCCCACTAGCATTTCATTTCTATTTTCACTCATTTTAGACACTAGGGGAATATAACTTGTCTCCATCCTGTTGCTCACCGCAGTTAGCAAATGTTGAGAGCTGATGTGTCTTCAGCATTGCTGTGTTTCCAGCCTACATGTTTTCCCAGTTTGAAATGGATCACTCTGGAGGAAAGCTGCAACTTTCTACTCTGCAGGAGGTTGGAGAGATGTCACCTACTCAAAGTGCCGTGGCTGATGGGAGGGGAGGATTTATGAGAAGACAGCATCCGGCACAGAAAGCATGTGAGTGTTAGGGTGGCAGGGGGGTGGGGTGAAGGTGGGTGTGCAGAGATACCATATGTAGCCCTAAGGGCTTGTCAGCCACATCACACTGTTGTGCTTTTGAAATCAAACATCTTAAGGAAGTTTGAGAGTGTGAATAAAACAATTTAGGCGTCACAATGAATCCTCATCAGTTACAATCTATCAGAGTCAGCCGTATGTTTCTGAACAGGTTATTATGTGAATATTTGATAGCACTGAACGTTGCATTCAGATATTTAAAACAACATATTTCATAGTCGAGTATCAAAGCATCAAGAATGAGCCGAGATAAATATTGGGATTCGGGTGTGCTATAGTCTAGCTTAATCATCTTCAGATTGATTTATAACATATTCATTTCTCATATCCAGCAGACAGCTCAGACACTGCCAGAGGGAGCAACACACACACTCCTTGTCTTCACTTGATTAAGTTGTGGAAGATGGATCCAAGGCTCTACCTATGCTTTTATTAAACATTTGAATCCTCTTTTAAGGAATGAAGCTTTGAATGTCAATCAATTGTAATCATATTTCATGATACTGTATCATCACTATGAAAAAATGCGAAAAGAGATTAGATTTTTGTTATTTAGATTATAAATATGTATTTTATAGTGCTGCTACATTGATGTTATGCAAAAAAAGCTTGAAGCTAAATATGAAATTAATTAAAAGAAAAACTGTGATTTTTTTTGTTATTACATCTATCCTTTTTCAATAGACTTTGTCTTTTGTACTTTACAATGCTCTGGAGTTCTAGAAAATATTTGGATCAAACAAGTCGGAAACAATCCTACCACCACTGTAATCTTGTTATACAAATGGTATAATACAGATGAATAGAGAGCCTTATCTTAATCTGCAAATCTCCATGAATACTGGGTGTAAATTGACACATTTATTTTTTTGTTAGGAGGTTAGGGGTATGCAGTGTGCATATCATCCACACTTCCTCTAAAAAGCACCCTTACTTATCTTTTTTAATGATGTGGAGGACAGCTGCCTTCCTTTACAGAAGTGCTATTCTTTCATTGCCAGAACTATTTCGATATGACATTTTAGGAAAAAGGTCAGACAGGTGAAGAGTTATCATTAGCTAACATGAGAGGGACATCACTGAGGACTGATCATCGCGGCATGAAGTTCCTTTAATAATTAAGGGTTACTGTTGAAGCTGTATGTACTCTATAGGGTAGGGTTTTTTGTTGTTGCTCATGTTCTAGAGACAGGAAGTAAAAATAGTAACATGTATACAGCACCATAAGGTAGAGTGGAGACAAGCAACATCCAGAATGAAAACACCCGGGCAGAGGGAGGCCTATATGTAAACATCCTGTAACACTATGGAGGTGGTGGTGGAAGTTTTACTGAGAAATGGTAACTTTTGAATGATTATTCATCATGGTTTCTCCTTTCTCCAATCACTGTTTACAACAGCAAGTACTTTTTGAGAGACACATAATGCCATGAATACATTTTCTTTAAAATAATGAGGAGACATTGAATGAACCATAAATATGCAAACTGGTCGTCGAGAATCAATCTATTTTTCTACATTATGTGTTCTGCTAGGAACCAGAGTTAGTGTTTTCATGTTGATTCTTAAGTACTCAACTTCTTGGTTAATAATTGACAAACTCCAGAGTCAATTTAAGCACAAACCATTTAATATTTTTTTTATATTAAATTGAAACTCTGATCTTCTTCTAAACTTGCCTTGTAAGTGTAAACACTGGTCCTTCACTTAGTACAGGGGTGTCAAACTAAATTTCTTCGGGCCACATTAGCATTATGGTTGCACTCAAAGGGCCGGTTGTAACTTTAAGACTATATATCAAAATACGTATATAAATATTTAATATATATAAAATAATGTATTATAAGACATTATTGCCTCTGCATTGGATTATTATCGGATAGGGTAATAACTTCATAATTAACTACGTCTGAAAGCAGAAGTCTAGGGAAAATCATTGCAAGTCTCTTCACTGAATATGTTACAGAATTATTTTTTTAAAATCCAATTCTGAGAAAAAGGCAAATTCTAAGAAAAAATGAATATTTTGAAGAAAATAAGTCCAATTCTGAGAAAAAAAACTTGTTCTGAGAAAAAAAGTCAAATTCTGAGAAAAAAAGTCAAATTTGAGATGCATTGTGGAACATGTAGTTTATGGGCAACGTGCTTCTCTAAATCGGCATGTAACCGTATAATAAACATATTATATTCTTTGCAAGCTCTTGAGGGGCCGCATGAAATGAAGTCACGGGCCGGATTTGGCCCCCGGGCCTTGAGTTTGACACCCCTGACTTAGTATGTCCCAGCTAACCACATACTTACATATTTAAACCTGCTTCCCTCAGAAATTGATGCCATTGAACGTTATATGCTGTCAGGCTGCACACAGTTGTATATCTCTTTAACCATAAAAAAAGATATGTCCATATATTTTTACTTTTTTTTTTTTAATTAAAATTGTACCTTACATTTTTGCTATTCAAAATTTAAAGAATAGAAAATTAAATCTACATTTTAATACATTTTTTAGGAAATAGGCCAAATCCTTTGAACGGGAAACCTACTTGGAAAAAAAAACTTGAATTGTAACTAAACCATTTTCCATTGACTTTCTTTTTAATCTTGCTGTCTCTAAAAAGTAAATGTGATCCGTCAGATAACACCATTAGATTTGAAGGTTAAACCAAATAAAATAAAAATAACAGTATAATTGTTTTGTACTGATATTTTCATAAATGTTGGTCTTGATTTGCCATCTTAAAGGGCCCATGTCATGCTTTTCCAGTTATTACCCGTCCCCTTGTGTGTTATGAAGGTTTTTATGCATGTAAACGGTCTGCAGACTCAAAACCCTCAAAGTGCACCCTGTAGCGAGTAAAACTCTAACACAGAAAATATCTCCCCTCGTTGGAGATACGTCACTGTCCATTGATTCTTCCGTGTACCGCATGCAGGGTTCTTACACCTTTTCCAAAGTCAAATTCAAGCACTTTAAGCATTTTCAAGGTGCATTTTCAAACTTTTCAAGCATCTTACAGCTATTGTAAATGACATTTATATACACGTACTTATACTCAAATGATTATTTCCCTACCTCATATTAAATCAGATGTTCTTTATGCTATAAACAACCAAATGTGTGTTTCGTGATAGCATTCTACATGAGAATGAAAAATTAAAGAAAAGAAAACTAAGTTTAATATTTCAAAATGAGTGACCCATCTGTACGTAGACTGGGCATCCCATATAACCTGGCGGAGCCAATATACAACAATCAGCCAAATAACTTTTCAATACATTATTGATTACAATATTTTTAGGTACTTTTAGGTTGGCAGTAAACACAAGTCAGAGGTAAATGGTGTACTTTTCCTCCACTATATGTATTTAATACCTTCAGTTACTTTACAGATGTGGATGAATGATGTGAAATCTAATCAAGTGTTAAATCAGACTTTAGTTCCACCTGGAGTAAATCCACAAGCTGCCCTGCAGTATACAAAGTCATTCAAACTAGCTGCACCTTTACCAGCTTTGAGAACACTTTCATGATCAATCATTATAAAACATATCATATCTATTATTCTGAAATGGACCAATCTGCACAATGACTACTTTTACTGTCGCTACTTTCACTATATTTTGATGATAATACTTTTCTACTTTCACTTGAGGAACATTTTGAATGCAGGACTTTTACTGTAACNTAACTGTTCCCATGGCCTAAGGCCTTCCCTGAACTTCCCTTCACCCCAAAGTCAGCTTACTTTAGAATGAATACATTTAAAAATGAGAACAAAGGACTAATAGTCCTTTGTTCTCATTTTTAAATGTATTCATTCTAAAGTAAGCTGACTTTGGGGTGAAGGGAAGTTCAGGGAAGGCCTTAGGCCATGGGAACAGTTAAGCTTTGTTATTTACCTAATCCTAAAGATGTCATGGGACGATGGCGTTTGGATATTTACAAATATGGCTTTCATAGAGAAAAACATGTGACTGTTGTGTGATAAGATACATGATAGGATGTGTGTGTGTGTTGAAGATGTTTAGGGGGAATGAGTATGTGTCCTGTCAAAGAGTCCTCTGTCATGAATCCAAATCATTGATTGGGGGATCTGCCAAAGGGCAGAGGGACAAACACACGCGCACAGAAGCAACAGATTGAATCAACAAACTGCTGACTCACTACCTGGGGTCCCGCCCAGAAGTGAAACCGACCAATGGAACACTGCCAACTCACTGGCTAGCTCACTCAGAAGTGAACTCGCCAATAACAAATAGCTAGGGAAGAGCAAGCGATAAAACTCCTCCCCACCTGTGTATAAATGTTGTGATTATTTTGAAGATCGGCGCTCTTGTTTTTGACTTGCCGTTCCCTGAGACGTGTCTCACACGGTGGTAGAACCTGAGCCCGGAGTACTCTGCAGAGTGCTTCGTGATTAGGTGATTAGGTGATTAGGTGATGTATTGTATGTTTCTACCATTAAAGCAGATTATTGTTTAACCCTTATCCTGGTGCTTTGACTTTTCCTTCTTTTAAAACAAACTCATAGAGGAACGCGCGAAGCAGAGATTCTGCCTCAACAACCTCTATCTTTGTAAGGATCATGATAGTTTTAGACTATCAGCCTGAGGGCATGTTGTCACTTCTTCATTGGGCTGTTTGAGGGGTCAACCTTTCTTTAGGATTTTGATTAAATTAAAATCATAGTAAGCGTGAGTGTAAGCTTTAGTGTTTGGGACAATTCATATAATGTAAGTGCAGAGATTAGTAAGGGTTGCATATGTGTATAAAACAAAAATGCTGCACTCTGGTGTCTGTAATTTGAAGCATCTGGTTTCCATGCTTATGCTGCCTTCTAGTGGCACAAAGGGAAGTTTCATTGTTACATTCCAGTTTCGGAGACTTGCTAAAACCTTTCTAGTGTGCACAAAAAGGGAAAATACATAGCCTACTGCTCAGGTCAGGTCTAATCAAGTTTGATTGCATTTAAGTGTATCTTTCTCCACTTTGTACCCATCTTAACAGCGTGACAATGCTTTGGTATTTTGGTCCAGTCCCAAATATCTCATCTATTGCATTTAATGGCATGAAGTTTGGTACAGATATACACCATGGCCAGAGGAGGAACTTTAATGGCTAAGGGGACCTCCTGACTTTTTCTCTAGTGCCCTTGAAATGTTCACTTACCTAAGCATCTGCTGAATGAATTAGCTCAACATGTGTAGGCCAACAGACATTCAAGATTCACATTGGACTTACTTTGGTGACTTTTTACAGAAATGCCACCATGAATACATTTTTTTCAAATATCTCCAAAACCATTCACATTATCCTCACTTGTACTTTGTGTTTGTTGAGCTCATGTTAGCATGCTAACCTGCTAACACAGTGAACATGGTAGACTTTATACTGGCTAAAAATTGACCCACTCTATCGAAATCAGTCGGAAGTCGCAACGGCTCATTTCAAAATAAACGTGGATTTGCGGAAAAAAAAGGTTTTTGGGGTTCGGGTGTTTTGTTTGATTTTAAATAAACAAAGTGTTGGCTTTTAAAATATGAAACTTGTATTTTCAAAATCACACAATAAATACATGTTTGAAGCTTGTAAAGGGAAGAAGACAGCTCTCCCTCGCCACTCTGCTCTTCCGCAGCGCCGCTTCCCCTCCCTCCGCTGAAATTATCAATGTAAGGCGTATAGTAATCATAGATAACACGGCAGGGTCAATTACAGTTTGTTTTCATTGGATTGAAAAAAAACAAAGTCTTGGCTTTCAGATTATTAAACTTGTTTTGGCAAATTCAGATGATAAATACAACTTTGAAGCTTGTAATGGCATAATTACAAGCGGAGAACGGAGTAACTTTACGTCACAGCAGGCATAACAACAGCCGGTGTTTCTCATGAGTGTTTTCCCCACGAAACAAACACGACACACACAAACGCAAAAATACACAAACACATACGCGTATATACCTGGTATATACACGCACACACTCACGAGCTTCCCCCAGACCAGTAATCCAAAAGAAAATATCTTCCCTCCGTACTACTTTGATCATTTGCTCCGCTAATAATCAATCAGATCGATGGATTCCAGAGAAGAGGAAACTTTGAAGGCCTTTTTCTCAAAATGATGACAGTCATTATATAATGTGACATATTTTGCTTAATATATGGAGTACAAAAACAATCCTGATATCATTAGAAAGCTAGGAATCTCCTCTTTCCAACAGTGTATACAACTCAAAATGTGTCTTCGGGTCAATGCGACTGATTTCGATGGAGCAGGTCACCATGCCAGCAGTGTGAGCTTTGAGTTTATAGCTGAATAGATGGCCTTAAAGGTAAGTGATTTATTGAAACAACATCAATAGCAGAATATATCCATCACACTGTGCTGTTTGATAGAGCTGAACCAACACAACACACACATTCGAGATGTTACCACATAAAACAGAATACAGAAGATCAGAAGTTCAGATGCTACAATTTCCTGATTGCAACACTTCCTTTTTTAACATAATAAATTCCTCTTCCACATCACAATTACAATCACATCCACAAAACCACAGAAGTCTGCTCAACATCACTCGGTCGGCAGGTACAAATAATTGAATTGTTTAAAGTGGGGATTTGGGTTTCCTGAATACAATTGTTTTAACTTTAATAATAGCTTAATACTAAACATATACTTACTTTTATTGATTAAGTCAAAGTGTTGTGATGTGAAGACAATATTCTTGTGGAAATCAGTGGCAAATTATTTCTCTATGACGTTTATTTTTCACTGGCATTGGCTCTCTCTCTTTATTCTTTTAAGTTCAATAGTTATCCTGGATATAAACTCTTTGTCTCATTCAGCTGCAATGGGCGTTGGTTTGGCAGTTGTCACTTTGCTCATCGCTCTTATGCAAGGTAAGTAGTTCCCTGATTGCTACTATAAAAGGTGGAAGTATAGTTTGTATTTGATTGTCTTTTTCCACTCCAATGAATGAAAGCTTCCTTCTGAGCCTGGGCCAGTAAATTATTCAAATGAAATTGAATGAAATAGGAAATACTTTGGTAGAGAGTATATGTCCATTGTTCGTCCTGATAATCTGCACTTTAAAGACATTCAATTTGCCCCTCTAGGTGTCTCTTGTCAAACTTGGTCGGTAATTCTGCCTAAAACTATCTTGGTCATCAATGACTCCTGTGTCACAATTCCATGCCGTTTCACGATCCCAAGAAATGAGGAAGCAAACATCCTCAACTGCTCAAAGGGTGTTGTTTGGAGGAAAGGATCAATGAGTGGTTCTAAGGTCTTCATAGCACACACTCCTCAATTGAACCTCATACAAGTAGGTCCTCTTTTTGTACCAGCCTCTATTATTTGCAACTTGTTAGTTTGTGTGTGTGTGGACAGAATTTGTCAAAGCCATGGCGTCGTAACCATTCAAGATGCAATCACGGAACTTCACAGGTGTGTAGTAGAGATCATAATGAAGGTTGGGATTCAAGATAAGCATGGTCCATAGCCCCAACTCTACACCCCAGGCCCAAATTGGCGTAACGGCAGTTGTGATCCAATCAAAAGAACACATATTTGGTATTTTGGTATCTATGGAAACTTCTGACCATCACAAAAATGTAAACAACGTTTTCTACTGCAAGGGGGAAATAACAGGGGACGTCACACAGAAGAACTGCACTACAACCTTCCATGGCTTCCGACAGGACAACAACGACAAGTACTTCTTCAGGCTTGAGTGTACGGAACTCACAAAGTACACTTTCGATAATGGGGTCACAATTAATGCCCAACCAGGTATGAATGGATGAAAGGAACACAGGCAGTTGAAAATGGTTAATTGTGGTCCTTCTGTCTTAACTTCAAATGTACATCTGACTAATATTATTCCTCAACTATTACAGTCATGTAGCTCTGCCTGTTTCTTTGTTACCTGTGATATTTCACATCTGATTCTTGCTGGACAGATCTCCCCCCCTCCCTGTTGTCCTCTGGGGGTCAGGTGTCAGAGGGGGCCCAGGTCAGCCTGCAGTGTTCAGTCCCGGTGCCCTGCCACAACATGCCCCCCTCCATCACCTGGTCACCTGAAGACAACTCTAGTCAAAAGTCTACACAAATGCAGGTGATCACTTATTCATGGTTTTCATTTATTCACAGTGTTGTAGATCATATTATGTATCATAGCCCACCTACACAATGAGGTTGACGTTGTTCTATATTTTTGCCAAATTCAAAGAATCACCTTGAAATATTGTATGTCTTGGGGCTGTGAGCCACAGAGAGCACAATCCTTTAAAAAAAAAAAAAAAGCTAAGCATGTTTAGAAAAATGTCACTGGAGAAATTAATACCTTTGTTGGGATTTTTTTAAATAGAAAACTACAATGTGTGTGTTCATGTTATTAAGTGATATGTAACTCAGTAGAACAGTAGGGTTTATTAATTAGTTTAATATTTTTTTTTACAAAAATTAGAAATGAATTATCTGAAGATCTTATTTATCACTCGTTTAAAAGAATATATATTTGGGAAAATGATCGGTAAATATAAAATACATCAAATATATAACGTTTTTTTCCACTAATAAATTGATTAATGGCTTTGGTTTGTATTCACAATAGGTAAAGCATTTAATCATACACTTCCAGTCTTATTATTTGAATACATATATTTGTATTTAGTATGTTTATTTTATGGTACTCCACCTCTGCTTCTTCCTACATTTAAGACGGGAATGTTGCACAATTGTTTACTTTACTAATATTATTTGACAAATGTAGTCACACATTGCTTTAGCATTAAGACAGAAATAAAAAAACAACAACATTTGATTACAAAATTAAAGATTAGACTACCAAACTGTATATCTAGAGTTAAAATGAGCTCCACTGCTGTCTCATGATTAAAAATGCAACATTATTTGACAGTATCTTAATTATGATCCCTTTTATCGAGTGTATTTTGATAATATATTTGTAATATTTAACAGATTCTTATTATTCAAAAATTGATCTACACCCTCTTGACAACATGTCAGTAATTAGGTGATTCCTCTCTGTTTTGCCAGAGTTTAGACGATGGACAGATGATCATGATGACCACGCTGACCTTCAGTGCTGCAGCGCACCACAACAACCAGAGCTTCTCCTGTTCTGTGACCTACCCGCTGACAGCAGGGGGCAGCAGCCGCTCGTCTGCAACCTCTCAGAGGCTCAGCGTCCTGTGTGAGACACTCACTGTGTATTATCCAATCTGTTTAGGGACTACAATAGTTAACCCAAAATGTCATTCAATTAAAAGAAGAGGAGAGTTCAAAAACCTCTCTGAGAAGTGTAGGGTAAATGTTTCATGCAGAGGATGATCTGTTATAACATTAATAACCAATTTAGTAAAATTGCACACATAAAATATATTGCTGTTCCACAGGAGGAAATACAAACAGGAGAAGTCAGAAGAGTCTGTGGTGGAAATAAACTTTAAGTAAACTTTTGAGGTACTTACTGTAGATGATAATAATGAAATAATTGTTGTTACTTTTACTTATACATCTGAATGCTTCTTCAACCACTGCTGAGGGCTGTATTGTGTGGGAGAGAAACTCCCTCTTTAGGGAACTTTGGGATGTTAGCCTTTGCAGACCATTTACATGCACAAAAACCTATACAACACACGACAGGAAAGGGAAAATCCCTCCAGTAAAATAGCGCCCCTTCAAGTAATATGACAACGTTATTATCAATAGAATGTACAAAAACTCAAAGTATTCATTATGCACAATGGCCCATATCAGATTAACTGTAGTAAGCATTGATGCATTGGTGCCTTTTACGCTAATGTTGCAGCTGATTATATACTCACATTATATACATTGCAGCTTAATCTATAACAACATATCATATTTCATAATCATATCATATCTATATCACATCATTTGTCGATTGATTAGTTTTTATAATCTATTTGTAACAGGTAACTTGAATTGTTTCTGAACTCTGAATTGTTGTAGAGTTGAGGTATAATTTAGCAGGAAATGGAAATAGGTAAAGTAAGAGTACATCAAAATTGTACTTTACTTTCTGCAACTGATTTGAGGTATAAACAAACCTTATGTCTATCTATGTCTATATAACAAATATTGCTTTGACTTAACTAAATTGTGGAAACCACATCCTCAGAATACATGAAATGTGCAAAAAGTATTTTTACAAATATAATTAGTCTGGTAAACTCACTGAAAGAAGTCAATTTTTCTCTTTGAATCTCTGAATAATAACCATTATGGACAGATGTATACATTATTATACTCACTGACACATTTAACAAGTTCCTCTTCCCTTCCTTCTTCTTCCTACCCCCCTCATTATGAACAAACTGACACTGATTTATTGACCATTTAGCTGTGTGAGAGACAGCAGAGCGTGTTATGGGAATACACATACCGACTTGTTTCAACATGACTTTTACTCACTTGACCTGAAGGGGATTTTATTTTCATGCGAAGACGGAAGTTTTGTTTTAAAGCTGTCAGTGTTTAAAGAGCTGAACAAGTCTTAGCTTGGTTTTGACAGAAGTAATTAATAGTAAACTATATGGCTGCAACATGACAAGGTGCCTTTGTTACTGTACGGCAGGCAGTGGTACTGTGTGTTAGAGGAGCTCAGAACTGACCTAAATTAAAGTAGAAATAGCGTGTATAAGCACGATTGAAAGTAGTTCATTCAGAAGTATCAGCATCAAAAAGCAAAACTAATCATTTTTCACAATGGCCCATTTCTGAACATTTATACGCTTATTCATGATTTATTATTGTACATTACAGTGCAGCTGGGGAAGTAGGGGCTATCATGTTATTTACTTTAAAAAGTGCTGGGTACTTTGTGAAGTTTACAAAGTCTTCTCTTATCCAAACCTATAACATTACTTATTAATGCTGTTGCTTTCATGTTGCATTATCTAGTGAATTCAAATTCAAATCAAATTAACGTAGTGAAGTGAAGTATAAGTAGATGATGGAATACCTCAGAACTGTATAGTACTACAGTAAAGATACTTTCCGAGACAGTCTGCTAATATTTTTGCGAACTATTATTTTAACACCACACTGTCTGTTTCCCAACAGATGGTCCTAAAGACACCGTGGCAACCGTCAGCAACTCTGCCGATGTGTTTGAGGGCCAATCGGTGACACTCACATGCTTCAGTGAGGCCAACCCCCCTGTGAGCCTCTACACCTGGTACAGAGACGACTTTGGAAAGGTACCAGACAGTCTACTTTATTTGATTTTTATTTTTTACTTGTTAGGCAACTTTTTATACGTGTATGATCATATTCATTAAACAAATTATATTACCTCTTTTTACTGAAGATCAGTTTGGTTCTAGTCCCGTGTCGGTGCTAGTTTGGTTCAGCTGGTGAATATTTGTTTTAGTTTGAATTACAAATGTTTGACAACATAGCGCCGTAAATAACGTTTCTCTTGTATAACATGGATTATTTTTAGCATAACCACCGCTCAAGCATACCTGGTTAATGTAGCATGACGTTGTATGTGTGAGGCCTCATTCTAGTCACTTTGCAATCTCAGCACAATTGCTTCTGTAAAAACGTTCTACTCTTTGCCGTAGTCTACTTGCCATTTATTGTTGTTGCTCAGATTATTCTTGCCCCAGCCTCTTACTTATGTGGTTCTCGGTTCGACCCAGCTGCTGCATTAAAAAATGAAGAACTGGTTCGCAATTTGGCACTGACTCCAAATCAGCCCTTGAACCTCTTTAATCGAAAAAGGGGTAAAAGTGCCCGAAACAAGTATAAGGGACAATGCTCTTCAGATCGTTTTCTGGATCTTGAGTGTACAGTCCATTGTCACATTTGAAACAAGGCTCTTGATGGGGTCTTCATGTTGAACCAATGATATTTAAGAAGAAAGTGTTCTGTCAACAACAGTTTGGAAATGGCCCTTTCCTGTTTCAACACAACAAAGGCCCTTTGCTAAATGGATACAAAAACAGCACCATAAAGAAACCAGTGTGTTGTTGTAAAACTGTACTGGTTCAAACAGAGCCCTGACCTAAACCTCATCCAACACATTTCAGATGATTTGGAAGGATTATGCTTTAAATTGTTAAAATATGTAGCAGTGAGGCGATTACACTGTATGATAACTGTGATATTTAAAAATAACTTGTTAGTAATAAACACATGATAATATTATGTAAATAATGCAGCGCCTCTGAAATCATTTCCCTTTCTTTATGTTCTCGGTTTGCATCCTTCCTTCCCCAACGCCACATACATAAAAACGTTTTTCATCTCCCCCAAAAAAGCGCACAATAAACAAAGATGAGTTTTGCGGTAGTATTTTTTTTTGTGTACGCTTCTATTACTTGTTTTATTTAGTAAAAACACTGTCTGTTTTTACTTCCTGTCATTGTGCGTTTTCCCGTCTGATCATCTCTCCACGCTTTATTAGTTCCCCTGTTCCCCTTTAGCCCTACAACCACCTGACCTCCTGCACACCGGCACTTCATCTCCTCCTCAGCTCTGCTTGTATTTAAGTCCTGGTTTTTGTTCAGTCTCTGTGGGATTCTTGTATGTTGTAACACAACGTTCTGCTTGCCTTGCCTTCCCTGGATATTTGTTAAATTGAAGTCTTAATGTTCAAAGTGAGCTGTACTCTCTTGCATTTCGGACCACACCAGCTCTACTTTCCGTAAAAAATGTACGTGACAGTATTGAAATTGTTTCAATTTTTTCACATGTATAACAATAACAGTAATCAAAAGGAATTGTGAAATAATTTGGCAAAGATAATTGTATAGGGAAAATCTGATAAATTCACAGCACTTATCCAAACACATCTGGTCATACAGTACTTGTCTTTTGTAACACAAAGTTCTGCTTGGATCTTTTGATTTTGCACATTAATTCCCGGCAATCATGGGTAATCAACACCTACTTAATCTCCTGTTGAAGGCACACATTTATTAACCAAAACACTACAGGGGTTAGGGTTAGGGTTATGTTTTAAAAACTGTTCTGATTAGGGGTGTAATGGTTCACAGAATTCACGGTTCGGTACGTACCTTGGTTTGGGGTTCACGGTTCGGTACAGGTTCGATACAACAAGAAAAAGCAAAAAAAAGTCCCAAATGCATAATTCCAGGTTTGTTGTTATTTATTTTTGAACAGTAGTGCAGGTTTCAGTATACAAATGAGGAACTCTAACCTTTTGAATAATTTACTGTATTACAAAGTTAAAAACAAACCACAAACAGTACCACACACACTCAGATGGCCATATTATTAAAAACTCACCTCTTCAAAAATATTATTAAAAACTCACGTCTTCAATCTGGCTTTTCATGTGTGATTGTTTTTGTATTATTTGACTTTAACTTTAACTATATATTTATTTGTTGTTCCTTTCTTCTCTTTTCTTTTTTCTTCACTATTATCTGTAAAGTGTCTTTGAGCACCTGTAAAAGCGTTAACAAATTAAATCTATTATTATTATTATTATTATTATCTATAATGGCTGAAGTCAAACAAAAAGGTTTCATCAAGCTGTAAAACTAAAAAGAATGTTTTGAAAATGTTACATAATAAATAATAAGAAACTGTTTCAAGGGCGCATAGCAATTGAAATAAGCCAAAAGCTTCCGTTATTTATTTTTGGTCTCTCGGCTTTCATGTCTATGATTTGACGAATACGGATACCGTTACACCCCTAGTTCTGACCTGAGTTTTTATCGCCTCTCCTCATCACAGCTGACTAAGATTGGTAAAGGAAAAAAGCTGGTCCTGCAGGTCAGCCAGACGGACAGCGGGTTGTATCTGTGTGAGGCTCAAAGTCTGATGACATCTCAGAGGTCCAGACCTGTATCTCTGGAGGTCAAAACCACAACAGGTAAACCTAGAGCTATAACACTATACTGCTTCCTCGCGCTAATGCTCCTACTCTGCACCTTTTGTACATCACAAGCTGGACATTTTTTTTAACAGTTCACTTGTACTTAAAAAACAGTTATCTCTTTAATTTTGTACTCTTAAAGGTGACATATCATGCTTTTCTTTACGATGACAGTTGTATTTTGGGTTTCTACAAGAACATGTTTACATGCTTTAATCTTTTCTTATTTTTCCTCATACATACTGTTTCATTTACATGTATTCAACCTCTGTCTGAAATGCTCCATTTCAGCGCCTGTCTCCTTAAGTCATTTCCGATCCTCAAAAAAACTATGATACCTGCAATCGGATATCTGTAAATAACCGATAGATAAATATAGAAATTCATGAAGCCCCCCAGCCAAAAATATCCATCCTGTTCTGATTAGTTGGTGATTAGGGGTCTTCTTTATCTGCGCCCTTGACGTCTTTGCATCGTCATTCCAATTGGGAATGACTGTATGGCACTGTAACTTTCTTACCATACATAGTATTGTTTTGAAATTAAAACTTTTAAAAAAGAGAAGCTTGCTTGAATGCAACATTTTTCAATATGGGGTCAAGGCCCCAAGGAAGAGTGCCAGTCTTTGAAGCAACCTGTGGTACTTTACTTACTTTCTAGTGCCTGATGTCATTTTGGCCCACAAATAGTTCACACTGACTCACTTTTATAGCCCTCATTTAAATCATTAGGGTATAAAAGTTGTAAAACGCACCAAAGTTATTTCCCCTCACCATTCAATTTGACTGAGCCGACAGCAGGAGATCGGAGGCGGGGCTTAAAAGGGAAATCTCAAGTGCCCATGCTCTCAGTGCCCAGGTACTTTTTGGATCTACAGTTGCTCAATTTGGGCTTGTTGTGCCACTGAGCAACACTGAAAGGAATGGACAGGGCCTCTGACGCTGTATCCACTTCTCTTTATACATCCATGTATGGGAAGGAGGGAGCTTTAGTGTATTGATACTTTCTCAGTATTTATATATTGTATTATGATAACAAATATTATTATAGAAAATACATGAAAATCCCCCTTTTTTACAATATAGGATGTATAACATGTGTTTTTCTGTTATGTGTTAATCTTGTTTTTCAGGCCGGATCGAGGGTGTTGTTTTACCCTACACTATATGTGGAGTATTGCTGCTCCTCTACATTATGACTGTTGTTGTAGATGTGTACAAGTATCAAGGGTAAGAATCTACAAGAGCAATCTAAAGCTTACATCACTTTAATCCTTAGTGTAATTTTAAGTTCATCCTATTCCCCCTTCAAAAATAATTGTGATTTTTGTGTTTCTTGGTGCATGCCTATGATTCTATGTTTATTATTGTTATTTCTTGGTAATATTGTAAATAAAGTTTCTCCACATTTATTTCCGTATGCTTTATTTAAGGTTCAAGTAATGATTGAATAAGAATCAAGATTTAGTTTCAATTATAAGACATTTCCAGTTATTGAAAACATCAAATGCTGGTGAAAAATGTCATCCTTCAGCTAACAGTTCCTCTGTGTTTGTTTTTCCTCTCGTCCTCAGTATATCCCGCAGGCTGAAGGTAAGCGGAAACTTAACTCAAACTGAGAAAGTGACAGGCAGTTAGAAAAGGAGATAGTGAAAAATTACCCCCTGCAACGCACTAATGCGATAGATCTGATAAGGATTTTGAAAAGCTCTGCATGTCACAGTCTAGTCACTGTCTCGTCTCGCTGACATCCTTCAGCCTCTCTGTTTGACTGAAGAAGTTAGTCTGACTCATCTTTAAACATTTTTAAAAACGGAGTCTCTGCCCTGCAGCGTTCACAAAATAAACAATTTGGGTCCAATTGATTTTTGAAAGCACAAGGGTACAACGTCATGAAGGGCAAGTATTTATACTGCATGTGCTTCGTGCATGAGATTATCAGTTTCCTAATAAGACAAATATTTTACCACATTTTTACAAAAGAATAACTTAAATTCAACAACTGTACTGGAGATGTTTGAGCCATTCTCTGACATTAGATAGTGTTATTCATTTTTGGGATCCAATATTACTCATCATATTCAATGAAAGGAAATCTGATGCTGCCGTGAGAGTTGTTTATTCCGCCTTTTTGCATTTTTTCAGATGATTGAAGTGAAGGGAGAACACACCTACACTAATATGAGGTCCTGCAGTGACTATGACCAACTCCAGGTATCTGCAATATATTTACTCAAATTATGTAAAAAATAAATATGTAAAATAGCTGCTAGATGATATGTGGATTGCCACATTACCAAGAAGGGCGATGGCCATGCTGGCATTTTTTAAGAGGTGGGAGTCAGAACGCCCTGTGGGACAAGGTTTGTGTGTGTGTGTGTGTGTGTGTGTGTGTGTGTGTGTGTGTGTGTGTGTGTGTGTGTGTGTGTGTGTGTGTGTGTGTGTGTGTGTGTGTGTCNCTAGAGCCAGTTAGAAGAAGTCCAATCCGCAAAGCCAACTCTTTGAACTTCGAGCGAATTTTCGCAACTAGTGACACTCTTAAATACTCCTTCTTTCCGAGAACAATCAGAGAGTGGAACTTGCTACCAGAAGAAGCTGTCATCGCAGAAACCGTGGAGTGCTTCCGGCAAATTTTAAGAGACATTTAGCGGGGATCATCCATCCCCCACTGAGCGTGATACCTCTGGGTTCTGCTCAGTATTAATCCAGATCCTGATCCAGACCAACAGCAACAAATACTAATAAAGTCATCCTTATGAGAAGTAATCATTGGGAGGTAGTGTAACTGATGTATAACATTTTTATAGTTACACTCAAAGATTGCACTTTTATTTCCTGTACTATTTTATGATACATGATAAAACATTTAGGTCTGATTTGATGTCCTTGGCCTCTTTGAATTTATGGAAGTCAGGACACAGACTGACTCATTGCGTGTCTAAGCTGCACAGGACAGATCACAGCCAGTCATCACAGTAGGATTATTATAAACCACACTGCGTGACACTGATCACTTGGTGGAATGTGTGTCACAGCAGCTGTAAATAGCACATTTTCCAACCACAAAATCTGCTTAGATTTGACCTATGCTGCTGGAAATTAGCTTGTTTTTCCCTAAAGCCTATAATTATGTCCATACACAGTACATATGCCATACCTGGAGTAGCCATGAACACATTCTCTCCTCTCCAACTCCACTGTGTTGTGTTCATGTATTCTCCTCAGGGAGGGTGGACTGCTCTCATGTGGGGAGCCTACAAAGGTCATACAGATGTGGCCCGGATGCTCATGGACAAAGGAGCTAACCCCAACATCACCGGACAGGTACTAAGACTGGACACACCATAATAATAGCAGCATTGGCATCTGTTTTCCCTTATTTCAGCATTGACATTTAAAGAGTTGTGTTTACACTACATGACATTTTGCTCCGCTCAAATTTGTTGCCCAGCGCTGCACTCAAAGTTCAAATGATTTAATATTTGACCTAGTTACCGCTGACCTTTCGATGTGCAACCAATCAGAATTCAGAATCAGAAACAGGTTTATTACCAGGTAGGTAGGAATTTGACTTGGTGTCGTGGTGCATAAAAACAAGAATTAAAAACACAGGTAGAGAACTAGAAAAATATTAAAAATAATTAAAGATATAGTAAAATATAACAGTATTTACATTGCAATTGAATGGAATAGAAGGAATAAATTATGGAATACAAATCAGCAGCACAGGTTGGCAGAGAAGGTAACCATAAAAACAAAACTAAGTAGTGCCCAAGCTTGCGGTGTCAAAAAGAAAATTGCATATCATGTGAATGCAGCCTTATTTCAAAGGAAGTATACACATGTAACTGTAATCTGATGTTTCAACTCACTAGATGAAGTTTAATTTATTTGAATGTCCGTACACATAACTTAACAGTAATGAATATGTGAACACAACCACAACCTTGTTCCTCACCTGCCTGCTGCGATGTCTCCCCCATCATCTGCTGTTTTAGTCATGTTCAGTAGCTTAAAGCCTTAGTTTGACCGCAGGCCGACACTGATGGTTAGTTACTGTCAGCATGACTTCACCCCTCTGCTCTGGCCCAACAGTACAGCGTCTACCCCATTATCTGGGCGGCAGGTCGAGGCCACGCAGAGATTGTCCATCTCCTGCTGCAGCACGGAGCCAAGGTCAACTGCTCGGACAAGGTAACTACATCCTGACAGATGTTCATCATTTACTTGTTTTTAATCACACAGAAAATGTAATTAGTGGTAGGATTCAAGTGAACATCCACCTTCCTGTTCCCCAAGTTCATCTTCCCTCTTCCTATATTAATTAACCTTCATTCTGGATCATTCACAAGTAACTAAGATGTCAATTAGATGTATTTTTGCCACTCATGCCTTATGTATTTATATTTTTCTTCGCAGTATGGCACCACTCCTTTGATCTGGGCAGCGAGGAAAGGCCACTACGACTCTGTGATGCACCTTCTGGCCAACGGAGCTGATGTGGACCAAGAAGGAGCCGTAAGTAGATTGTTAATTTCCTGTGAATAGTACTTTATTATTTTACAGGAGCATTCAGTGGAGATACAACCCTATTGTGCTTTCACCTAAAAAGACGATTTGAAGTTTGACTTTTCAAAGCGGTATTGGGCTTTTTTATTCAAAGTGTATTTTCTCTGCAAAAAGTAACGTTGTTTTGGAAAAATACAGACCGTATAAATGTAACTCAATAAAAAAAAGATGTAAAAAAAGTAAAGTTGTTTGAACAATAGTTGCGCCACATAAATAGTACTGCAGTTTACAGTTATAGTTATCATAATTATAAATAAGAGGATCTAGAAAATGTTAAATTCAGGTACACAGTTGCTAAAGATATTGATCAGAGTTCAATATGATATTTTTATGAATAAAATAATGTTGATTATTACATTTGATCACAATACCTACATATTAATGTTAAAATATGTAGATTTTACTGTAAGGGTTCTTAGCTATGTCTGGAGAGTTTAGAAAGCCTTTGATTGTTTGATGTGTAGAAAAAATAATATTTGTAGATCCGACACTCTTTATGGCTTTGCACCGCACAATTATTTGATGTAGGAAAATATTTGCCAATATTTCCAAACACTGTTGATTTCTGATTTGGTAGTCTCAGGAGGCGTTTTAACAGCTGAACACGTCTCATTTTGTGTTGGGTTCATCATGGGTGCCTTGACACACATAGCGGCCTGTTCTCACCAGTGTAGTTTTCACATAATCAAGATTTAATGCTCCCGAGCGCCACAAACTCATTAGTAAACTGCGATATTAAATAATTGATTGCATCGATGACACAGCGCATCTGTGCTCCTTCGAGTCATGTTGCATCTGTGCTGTCACACACTGATAGATGTGATGGTTCGATATGTAGCATTAATAATCAGATGGAACTATAGGAGCTGATGTTGCGGAGCAATTCATTCATGTGTGATTTAGAGGCTCTAGTGCCTGGGTAAATGTATGAGTTATTGTGCTTGTTGGACAATATATCAATAATAATTTGCCATTAAGCCTGAAGTGTCCCCCAGAGCTGCTGAATTAAACTGATAACATTTGGGAAATAACGTTTTTTAATCATCAACAATCAATTATTGAACATCTGCCATTTTCTACACTAACCAGAATCCTCAAGTAGAGGGAAACATCTGTAGCGGTAATCTTGAACAATTTGACAGAACCTAAAATTGGCTAATTTAAATCTTTCTTTATGTTTTCAGAACTCCATGACGGCTCTGATTGTGGCGGTGAAAGGTGGCTATACAGAGGTCGTAAAGGAGCTGCTGAAGAGTAACCCAAACGTCAACATGACCGACAAGGATGGCAACACCGCCCTCGCCATTGCTGCCAAGGACGGTCACACCGAGATCGTACAGGACCTGCTGGATGCCGGCACCTATGTCAATATCCTGGACAGGGTGAGGCCTCCTTACAAGATGTAGAAGAGTAGTTCAAATGAAATGCAATGAGAGTCTAATAAAATCCATCTGTTTGTTTTTCCTTTCACCATCTCTATCAGAGTGGGGAGACGATGCTGATTGGAGCGGTGAGAGGAGGCCATGTGGAGATAGTCCGAGCTCTGCTGAACAAATACGCTGATATTGACGTCAGGGGAATGGTAGGAGCTCCTTTCCCACTATCTCCACTGCCTTACTGATGTTTTGAAACAGGCAGGAGGCCTTCTTGTGTTCCCTATGTGATATGTCACACTGCTACTCAATACCGTTTGATCTGTTGTTTCTTGGTAAAGTAAACTTTGCTCTATTAGATTACACGAATATACACCAGCATACTGTTAGGAGTACATACACAAATACTTATACGCGTTATCAGTTCTGCACAATATATGTCTACATTACTTTTTGTATTTTTAACACAGTTTGTTAGATCTTTTACAATATTATCCTTGTCCTTTTCACCACAGGATGGAAAGACTGCCCTCTACTGGGCAGTGGAGAAAGGCAACGCCTCCATGGTGAGAGACATCCTGCAGTGTAACCCGGACACCGAGAGCTGCACTAAGGTACGGCACACTCAATTTAAAAAAAGTAAAGAAAGTTTCATTATGTTTACTAAGTACCATTCTGAGTTTGCTGTTTCAAAGTTTCAATTGTTTCCACTGACCATATTAAATAAGAAAAGGAACAACAGAAATCTACACTTCCTGAAAAGATCTGTTTTAAATATTGATTGATTGAGCTCACCCTAGGCCTTCTGGGATTTTGAAAGTATGTGTGTAGGCAATTGTATCTGTCTTACTTGTGTAGTGTTCAAAATGAATGTGTTTTGTTCAGAATAAAATGCTAAATGATGTATATCTTTGCATTTTAGGATGGAGAGACCCCACTCATCAAATCCACAAAAATGAGGAACATAGAGATAGTGGAACTCCTGCTGGATAAAGGAGCCAAGGTGTCTGCAGTGGAGAAGGTAATATTTAAAACACACTTGCACATCAGACACACCTGAATGGAAACATATCGTCATAACAGCATATTAGCTTTTATACAGGTATTACATCTAGTAACCTGGAGGTTCCTTCTTTGCCCACTTTTTAAAGTGTTTTTTCCAGAGTTTTCTTATAGACATCTGCCAATGTATTTTTTGTCCCTTCAGAAAGGGGACACGCCGCTCCACATTGCCATCAGAGGGCGCAGCAGAAAGCTGGCTGAGCTGTTGCTGAGGAACCCTAAAGATGGCCGCCTGCTCTACCGCCCCAACAAAGCTGGAGAAACACCATACAACATTGACTGCACCCACCAGAAAAGCATCCTCACACAGATATTTGGAGCCAGTAAGACCTTTTTTCCCATAATATCCAGAAAGTATTGTGTTAAAAAACAAGCTCATAGCCCTGTGAAGCAATTGGAAATGAAACTGCTTTACTTTGTTCCAGGGAATAATTTCCATAGATGTTTACCTTTTGCCCTCTGACGCAGATGCCCAGCCTTGGGCAGCATGCTATCTCCCTTAAGGAGGGGCTGCCCTAGCATTTTGTTGTTGTTACCAGTTTGTGACTCCAATTGCTTCAGAAGTTTCCCCCACACTTTGTATTCTCTTGTGCACTTTTTAATATGTTCCCTCTCCCTCTCTCTTTCTCTCAGAGCACCTCTCCCCCTCTGAGTCAGATGGAGACATGTTGGGTTATGACCTGTATAGCAGTGCTCTAGCAGACATCCTGAGTGAGCCCACCATGCAGCCCCCGATCTGTGTTGGCCTGTACGCCCAGTGGGGCAGCGGCAAATCCTTCCTTCTTAAGAAACTGGAGGGTAAGTAAGCATTAAAACCTGTTTCATACAAAAATATAAAAATACAGAATTGTGACAATTAGCTTTTTACACTGTGCCTTTCCTCAGGTTCTTCAATACGACTGTAACCTATTGATTTGTTCACCTGATAAATGATTCAAATAACTGAAATAAAACGTTTTCCCTTCCTTCTGTCCATCAGATGAGATGAAGACCTTTGCAGGCCAGCAGATAGAGCCCTTGTTCCAGTTCTCCTGGCTGGTGGTCTTCCTCACCCTGCTGCTCTGCGGCTCACTGGCTATGGTTCTGGGATTTACTGTCGATCCCCAGCTGGCAATCGCCGTCTCCCTCAGCCTCCTCGCTCTGCTCTACATCTTCTTCGGTGAGGAGACAGATTAGCAACACATGAAGACTTACAGCTAGAGTGTTCTCAGTTTCACATGAGGATGACTTGTGCTTCTCAACTTGGACATTCTTATGGAAAACACTTACTGATGTTCACGAATAGAGCTTACCGTTGTAATCATGAATTTATTTATTTTTTGGCTTGTGAACTAAAAATGTAAAACAATTCCCCTTGTTCTCTCCACAGTGTTGGTGTACTTTGGAAGTCGGCGTGAGAGGGAGAGCTGGCACTGGGCGTGGGTCATCAGCACCCGTCTGGCTCGCCAAGTCGGTTACATGGAGCTGCTGCTCAAACTGATGTTTGTCAACCCCCCCGAACTTCCTGAGCAGACCACCCGCGCACTGCCTGTCAGGTGATTGTCTCACACACACACACACACACACACACACACACACACACACACACACACACACACACACACACACAGCTCTGTCAGATGTCAAAAGTAAATATATCCAAATTGCAGTCTCACTGGGTTAGTACCATTGCCTATTACATCTTTAATTGTAATGTTAACAACATTGTAAAAATAAAACAGTAATCCCAGTCCAGTGCGAATCCCTGAATAATGTCTGTTTCTCTCATGTGACACAGGTTCCTGTTCACAGACTACAACCGTCTGTCCAGTGTTGGAGGGGAGACCTCCATGGCTGAGATGATCGCCACGCTCTCTGATGCCTGTGAGAGAGAGTTTGGCTTCATGGCCTCCAGGCTCTTCAGGGTTTTCAAGAAAGATGAGATCCAAGGTGATGTTGCCATCTTTAGATCTAGTTATGTTTTGACATTTCAACCAGCACACAAAGTTACAGTCAGACAGTCATTGAGATCACAAATTACATTTACATTCATTACATTGGCAATTATGAGCTTGCATTAACCGGTCAACCGCTGACATGAACTAAAATATGCATGTTTGGTGTGTACAGATTTTGAAGTGAAATATATGCCCTTTTTAAAAAGACAGTAAACCTGGTCGCCTTAATCAGTTTTGTTTTTTTAAATGTAGTATTTAAACTTCTTTTGAATTACTGCACCATGAGAATGAGAAAAGACATTCTCTTTTCAAAGCAATATGAAACTCTTGTAGGCACTGCTTCAAAGGAATAGTTTAGGCAGTCTTTTCTCTATTTTACACGTCCTTTCTCAAATGATCTTAATATCTGAAGGTTGTTTTTGTTCAATCTACATAGAAAATGTATTTTCTGAGTGTTTTTATAATCTAAACACACCCCTCACATATTATCCTCTTCTTTCCTCTGGCACCCCAGGTAAGAAGTGGAAGAAAACATGCTGCGTTCCTTCCTTCGTGCTGTTTGTCTTGACACTGGGATGCCTGATCACTGGTGTGGCTCTGTTGGCCATCTTTAAGGTTGGTTAAAGATGCACTCAAACATCTTGGTCACAGGACATCAGCAACACATTTATGTCAATGCTTTTTTCCCCAGGTGGACCCTAATAACTTCACAGTAAATGCAGTGCTGATAGCCATGGCCAGTGTGGTGGGTCTGGCCTTACTGCTCAACTTCAGGACCTGGTGGCAGGTGGCTGACTCTGTCCTCAACTCCCAGAGGAAACGTCTGCACAGTGCTGCCAACAACTTAAATAAACTCAAGAGTGAAGGGTTTATGAAGGTAGGCGAATAAACCATATATTCATTTCACCCAATCAAGGAGCAAATTCTTCTACATCCTGTTGTCATGACTGAATGGGCATTCCATTATTTTATATAGTTATCAAGCTGTAGTCACTATTCCAATCAATGTTTCTTTTCCTTGTTTTGAGACATTGTTTTTATTCCCTCTGTCTCACATTAGGTTCTGAAGCATGAAGTGGAACTAATGTCAAAAATGGCCAAAACCATTGATGGCTTTACCCAGAACCAGACACGCATGGCCGTCATCATCGACGGACTGGACGCCTGTGAGCAGGACAAAGTTCTGCAGATGCTGGACACGGTGGGTGTGACCACATGTTTCTGTGGTTGGGAATTATGCTGAATAGGGCTGCAACAAACGACTAATTTGATAATCGATTAATCTATCGATTAATGAAACGATTAATCGACTATTCGGACTATTACTGTATGCCTTGCACAATTTCTCAAACGCTCTTATTTAGCCATCAACTTTTAGATTTAGCTTGAGGTTGTTTTAGGCATGTGGAAACTAACAATGAAAACAATACAGATGAATACTTGATTCAAAAATACATATATTATTAAATTAACTAAACACATTTTGAACAAAATGAACTATTAAATAATGTGATAACAGAACTGTAAACAGAATTGCTGAAACTTTAACAAAATAAATAACTCAGTTACCTCTAATCATTAACCCATGTTTGTATAATTGAGTTAACTC